GGCAATTTTATCTTTTGGAAAAAATGAAACAAGAAAGCAGAAGGCAATTTTATCTTTTGGGGAAAATGAAACAAAAAGGCGAAAGGCAATTTTATCTTTTGGAAAAAATGAAACAAGAAAGCAAAAGGCAATTTTATTTTTTGGGAAAAATGAAACAAGAAAGCAAAAGGCAAGTTTATCTTTAGGAAAAAATGAAACAAAAAAGCAAAAGCAATGAGACAAGACAAGATTATTGTTATACAGGAAAAAGGTGGTGAATTATTGCGCAAGTCCAGTAATGCAGCGGGTTCAATTGCCGACCCAGTCATTGCTATACAGAAGAGAGGTGGTGGATTATATTCAAGTCCAACAATGCAGTCACGGACCCAGTTAGTGGCTTAGTGCTTTGGGGAAACAAAAATTATTCGATGGAGGAATAATTTTTAATACTCCTATTACGGAACTTATTTTATATTTAATAATTTTAATTATATAATTTAATATAATTTATATTATAATATTTATACAATTTAAATTATATTAAATTATATAATGTAATGTAGTAAGTTCTCTGATCACACCCTCGATAAAAAGTCTTTATGCAGGAATTCCGTTCAACCAAACAAGGCATGAAAGTCTAAAAAGCTGTTCCCACTGACATATTTTTCCACTTGTTTCCTTTCGCTGCCTTACTTTTGCACTTGGAAGATTCAAACTTATTTTCCTACTCGTTTTCCTTCCACTGCCTTCCTTCTCCACTTGGAAAGGTCGAACCTAAATATCTCTGTTCCCCACCGTCATATTTTCCCACTTGTTTCCTTTCACTGCCTTCCTTCTTCCCTTGTTTTTTTTTCATTGCCTTACTCTCTCCATTCCCATACTTTCCCATATTCTAAAATTTTATTTTTAAAAGAAAATAAACCAAAGGGTAAAAGCAAATAGTACAAGATAACCATGGCTTCGAGGGCTGGTGAATTATTTTTGCATGTCCAATAATGCCGTGAGGCCCCGTATGCGATGCCTTTTTCGATTTCCGATAAATATTAAAAATTAACAAAAGAAATTTACATAGATTATAGGTTAAAAAATAATTTATTTTATAAATATATTAAAATAATTTTAATAAAATAATATATAGATAT